TTTATTTTTACTGTCGGCCGGGTCACTCATTACTGGATCAGCTGCTGCATGAGACAGACACTGACGCTGTCCGAAGAGAGGGAGGAAAAAGAGAGGCTCCATGTATTTTATTATTATATTATATAGAGTCGTTATTCATTCGTGTTAAAGCTCAATAAATAACAAAGAAGACCTTTGACTGGCACTTTCATAATTTTGTCCGGAAGATTTAAACTTTAACAAACGTTGACAGGCGAAAAACTCTGCCCGGTTCCCTCGGCCCCCACCACGGAGAATAAACAGAAGGGCAACCATGACAACCATGCTTCTTCGCTGCTTTGTGGAGGAAGTTACAGCGCCACGTAGAGGCTCCTGCATATGTACTGCAGCTTCTCCAGCGGTTGGAGCTAAACGGAGCTGTCTTGTGTGGACAGACACTATCCGGTGAATATTGCGTGTGGACGGAAGCTGTTTTGCGTTTGCGTTAATCCTATGCGTTTAGCCGTATGCGTCCTCGTGGGGCCGGGGCCTAAGTGTCAGTCATCAGACCCTGTACTGCCTCCTCTCCCCATCAGGTCACTGAGGATGACGTCCTGGACGCCTTGGAAACGGTTCTGCAGTCCCACATGTCGTCCCCGGCAACCAGAGGATTTGCTCTCACCGCCACCATGAAACTGAGCACACGCATCACTGACAACGTGGAGTAAGAAACTCTTCTCACAGCAAACAGAGCCTAGATATTTTTAGAGCACAGCAACAGGGCACTGTGGCTAAAGGCTGAATCACATTTCTTTATTTGACATATAAACTATGCAGATTAGTATTTGCATGGTCAGGAAAGTATGTCGGTCAATGGTTACTTTATCAAGTAACAAAACCCCTTTACACACTGACATTCCCGAAAACTAAGCCTGTGTTTGAGTGCTACAACATTGCAACAGAGAAGGCTTAATGCTGCATTCTGGAGTTAAAAGAGAGACTAATACGTAGAAAATCCCAGTAGAAATATTTTTTAAAAAAACTTTCCACACAGGAAATCGTAATTTAAGATTGAATTGTTACACATAAAAAAGAGTATTAGAAATGTTGACATGGGGCTTCTGGTTGTTTTTAATACCAGTTTATAAAATAAAAGATTTCCCCCAGCAGAGTTGTTTCATGTTAAAGTTTATGTAAAAAAAAAAAAATAGAAATAATATTTATGAAAACATAATAATACAGATGATCGCAAGGGTCTAACAATTTGTAGGGATTGTTTAGGAAATACTGCTGATTTAAGAATACTAGAAGTTATTTTTCACTAGTCTTACTAACTTCTCTTCACCCCCCCCCCTGCCAGTCGCATCCGAAGCGTGGTCAGCATCTACGGTAGCTGTATAGACGTGGAGCTCCAGCAGAGGGCGGTTGAATACAACGCTCTGTTCAAAAAATATGACCACATGAGGTAAGCAACTACACGATGAAGAGTTTCCTGATTCAATATACAAAATGTCTGCTATATTGTGGATATTTACAACTTGTATCAGAAGCAAACTGTTTTTTCCTAGTCATGAAGTGCTGAGTCGTCCTCTCTCTCTGCAGGGCGGCGGTGCTGGAGAGGATGCCTGTTATTGAGAAGAACTCTCCGGGTCATACCAACGGAGAGTCCATGGGGGAGGTCAAGGAGAACCAGGCATCCAAAAAGCCAACGGAGCCCAAGCTGCTCCCACAACCTGCTAACCAGGTGAAACACGCCCACACAGAGGCATTTCTATATGAAAAACACTCTTTATCCGACCCCTTTTCGTTGGAAGACCTATTCATTTTTAAGATGTCATTGATAACTTTCCAGACTTTAATATTGGGGAACAATATGAACGGTGTGAAGGCTTTAGTGGAGACTTTAAACTTAGGGAACTGGTTCTTGACCATTTAAATAACCTGATATACTGTATATCTGTATGTGATGGGCTTGTTCTAAATATTTGAGTGTTACATAATCTTACTCCTGTATTATGTGATTGGCTATAAAGGAATAGTTTGAAGACTCATTTATAACCTTGACATTTGAATCTAGAACATCATTCAAACGATGACAGTATTTTTCTTTATTTTATTGTCTATTAATTGAGTTTACCACTGTATTAGTGCACAGTGGCAGATACAAGTTAGGATGATGATAATTGATATATTATAGTATTCGTAGATTTAGACTCTAGGGATCTTTTCAGCTTGTGTGATCGAAAGATTTCTGAAAAATACAGACCGTGTTAAAGACAACATTTTAAGTTTGCGAACATATCGGTGGGTGGGAGAGAAACTCCCTCTGGAGGGAACACAGAGATTTAAGCTTTTGCAGACAATTGACATTCACAACAACTGATTCTACACACTACAGGATAGGGTAAAGCACAAAAGCATAACAGGGCCTGTTATAAAATAATCATCCCAAATTCCCAACATGCTTTTCATCTATCTTCTTCTTCAATCTATATTTGTTTTATGGTTACCGGTCAGATACTGATGCATTCAAATACCTCCACACAGCCTTACTGTCCTTTGGAAGTGTCTGCTTTGAATATGCAGAGTGATGTGTTCAGGTGACTAACGGGCTGTTCCCCTTAGGTGTGTGACCTGCTGGGCCTGCTTGGGGGCTCTGAGGAGACCCTGCTGCCCAGTCCCTCCACGGCCCTCGGCCTGCTCACCAACACCCCCAGCACTGCAGGGGGGAACCTGCTGGATCTGCTGGGGGACCTAGAGCCTGAACCCCTCACACCAGGTGGGACCCTCCCCCCTCTCTTTTTCCCACTGAAATTACATCCATTCGAATTACAGGCTTGGGCTCGTTGGGTTAGCAGTTCAACAAAGCAGTCATTCAGTGTCTCACAAGTACATCTCCTGATCCATATTTCAACATAAAGTCATATTTATTTCAGTTCTAATTGAACCTGTTTGGCAACATATCGCTGTAAATAAAGGATCGTATAATGTAAAGTTTCTCTCATATTAAATAAATGAAGTAAGCATAGCCACCAAAGCCAGTAACAAGATTTAGAGCATACAAACTGAAAAATTGTTATTGAGAAGGCTTTCATACATTATATTAAACTCCGCAAACATAAGGCATAATAATTATTTACCATAATGTTTGAATGGGAAGGGTTCTTGTTGCTATCATTTTGGCATATGCTTTTTTCTACCAATATCAATTAATTAATTGCCTCTAATCATGGGCGAAGTTTGAACTTTAAGGTTGGGGGTGCCAAAAAATAACTACAAATGTAATGTATAGCTATAGGCTGCAACACAAGGATTCATACATGAAGATTGATCAGGATAGCCTACAGGCTACTGCAGGTGTGTTTTCATAACTAATATGCCCAATAGATGAAATTACTATGGCAGCGGAACTCGCCGCAAAATAAAACGGCTGCTGCGGCACATACTGCTGCTATAATTAGGCTATAACACAGAGGTCTGTAGGATCAATGTTCCCCAATGCTCACACACTTTTTAATGAACTGTATAGGCATACTAACTAATAACTGTAGGATATAAGCACAGCAGTTTTATCACATTTTGACCTAATTTCAGCGATGAAAACAAAGCCAACCAACAAAGTAATGACTTTTGTTCACCGTCATCTAGTGATTATGATCTCCATGCATTCAGCGTCTCTGCCCCACAACTGTCAGCAGCGGCCGCTAGCAGGACCGAAGCATGTGAGCACAACGCAAACGGGAGGATTTGGAGGATTTTGGTTTGAGCGTGGAGCGGTGTCTGCTGCTTACTGCAGCTGGCTATCCCCGGATGCAGATGCTGCGCAATTACGCATTTAAGCTCAACAAAACGAAATAATTTGAATGAATGGCTTACCTAGTGCAGCATCAGGCGCCTCTTTTTCCGGC